AGCCGGAAGTGGCGCTGTGGCTCAAGTGGTAGAGTGCTAGCCTTGAGCTGAAGAGCTGAGGGACAGCACCCAGGCCCAGAATTCAGGCCCCACGACCGGACCCCCCCCAAAAAAAAAAAAAGAATGTGGAAAATGTTTGCACAAAAAGACCCAAATCAGGGGCCGGAAACGTGGCTCAATGGTAGAGTGCTTGCCTCGCATGCATGAGGCCCTGGGTTCGATTCCTCAGTACCACATGAGCAGAAAAAAGCCAGAAGTGCTCTGTGGCTCAAGTGGTAGAGAGCTTGCCTTGAGCTGAAGGACAGCGCCCGGGCCCAGAGTTCAGGCCCCACGACTAACAAAAAAAAAAAAGACCCAAATCAAAGGGTATTACAACTGATGCATGCAGGAGGGCATTTGTAAAAGAGGAGGGAGGTGTAATTAAGTAGCAGGGCACTTGTGAGGCCCCCAAATGCAATAAAAAATGGCGAGGGGCAGGTGCCAGTGGCTCATGCCTGTAAACCTAGTTATTCAGAAGACTAAGATCTGAGGATCACGGTTCAAAGCCAGCCCGGGCAAGAAAGTCTGTGAGACTCTAACCTCCAATTAACCAGCAAAAAAACAGAAATGGAGCTGTGGCTCCCAAGTGCTAGAGCACCAGCCTGGAGTGAAAAATCTCAGGGACAATGCCCAGGCCCTGAGTTCAAGCCCCAAGATTGGCACAAAAAGAAAAAAGACATGAGATGTTTTTCTATCACAAATCATGTCTCATTGTCTTAGTGTAAACTCTTGGTGGAAATCCTATAAATAGGATGAACATACAAAGCACTTTTACCAGGAATCACACAAGGAAGACATTCTGGAAGTGGACTGCGGGGAAGTTGGGAGAAATATACTCAGGCATCAAGAACCTTGAAATCTGTGCAGCGAACAATGGCCACGTGCTCGCCACATCCAGGCTTCTGTGGGATGGTCAGCTTCCACCTCACGTCTGCTGCCTGGGGAACCGTGTAACAGCTCTGCCGGGGCACATCAGAGAATGAGATCGCCATTACTGCCAGCTCCGTGCACATAACACCTCCCACTAACTTCTCCCTGTGTTCTCACACGCCACGGGCCTGAGGGCAACCACAGATCAATGAGGTCACTACAACTTAAAAATACCTGATTGGAAAGAAAGATCTTCACACATATTGTAAAAGATTACCTGAAAAAAAACCACCTGAAAACTTTGTGCATGGTCTGGTTAATATTACAGTGCAAACCCACAGTAGCTAAGTCACTGTATGATTTCTGGAAGATGAACCCTCACAGAATAGAAGCCTCTATCTCATGTTTTATTCTCCAGTCCATCAGTGGAGAATAAAAGCAATTATATAGATGAATTAAGAATGTCTTATAAGTGTTTTTTGTTTTGGTTTTTGGGCTTTTTGGTGACTCCTGAGGCTTAAACTCTAGGCCTGGATGCTGTCCTTGAGCTCTTTTTGCTCAAGGATTGCACTCTACCACTTTGAGCCACAGCTCCAGTTCTGCTTTTTGAGTACTTAATTGGAGGTAAGAGTCTCACAAGGACTTGTATGACTAGGCTGGCTTCGAACTGCCATCCTCAGGTCTTGGCCTTCTGAGTAGCTAGGATGACAGGTATAAGCCACCAGCACTTGGCTTATTTTTCTTTCTTAGTAATCCCAGCGTTTTACTCTGGCACCGCTCAGTGGCGAGCATTCTGACTTGAGCCACACCTCCAGCCCTTTCTGTTTCACATTATTTTTTTTCTGAAAAGGTATCATTTTTGCCTAGAGTTGCCATACACTGTGATCCTCCTATTTATGGCTCCCACTTAGCTGGGTTTACTCATGCCTCCACTGATCATTTTCAGCTGATTTACTGATAAGGATTTCACCTTTTTTTTTTCCCTTTTTTTTTTGGGGGATCCCAGATGGCCAGAAAACCAGTCTCCTGATATCTGCCTCCTAATTACCTGAAATTAAAGTTTTATTCCCTCAGAAATCTGTAATGGGAGAACAATACCAATTTATCTTGGAAATTCAAACATTTGTATTCCAATAAACACCTATGAAGGATATTTCTTGATAGTGTGCACTGGTTTGTGTCTTATGTAACTGGAGATGAGAAGCTACTGTTGGCCTGCAGTGAGTAGAAAAGCCAGACAGTGAATAGAAAACATTGAGAGCACAGAACGTGCTCATATTTGTAGAATGTGATCATGTGACTACTCAGGATGCCAAATTCTCCTGGATGGGACCCAGCATTACTGCAGGCAGTGTGGACCCCGTGTGGATACTGACTGGCGTGGTCGTAGGGCACATCAGAAATGAACATGCATTGGGCTGGAAGGTGGCTCAGTGGTAGAGCGCTTGCCTTGCATGCATGAGGCCCAGGGTTCAATTCCTCAGCACCACATAAGCAGAAAAAGCTGGAAGTGGCGCTGTGGCTCAAGAGGTAGAGCGCTCGCCTTGAGCTGAAGAGCTCAAGGGACAGTGCCCCGGCCCAGCATTCAGGCCCCCACAACCAGCAAAAAAAAGAAAAAACATGCATAGGGCACAAGGTCCTGGCTTCCGTGCCCAGCCATAATTACCATTTTACACTGAAATCTGCCACATTCTAACATGTTTCTTTCCTCATGTACTTGTGTGCATTTGTATTTCTAGATTAAGTTCACTTCGGGTTTTCTGTAGTTATGAGTGTTCTTTAAGTATTGAATCTTCCTGTGTGGAATAATTTTTCAGACATTCTCTTGTGTTCTTAGATATAGATTATATGTTCATAAAAACTTGGTACCAGGGGCTGGGAAGTTGGCTCAGTGGTAGAGCGCTTGCCTTGCATGCCTGAGGACCTGGGTTCGATTCCTCAGCACCACATAAGCAAAAAGAAAAAAAGCTAGAAGTGGTGCTGTGGCTCAAGTGGTAGAGTGCTAGCCTTGAGCTGAAGAGCTGAGGGACAGCGCCCAGGCCCAGAGTTCAGGCCCCACGACCAG